GTAATTAATGAAGATCTACACTAGATATGAATACAGTATAAAGTAGATAATTGAATATGGCTCAGATGACTATTATAAGAAATTGGAGGACAGTTGGAATTAAATTACAAGTTCTGGAATTAAGTGATAAAAGAATCAACCAAGGATTGTAGATTATAATTTATCTCATTAAAGGTACTTAGATGATAAATTATGAGAATATTTCGATTTGGTAAAATTACGAAATTACCCTTATGTTGGAAAATGACAAGAATTATCTCTGGAAGTTGATTAATAAATCTAAAAAGAATTATTGATCTGCTAAAACTATTGATGTGCATAAGAAATGTTAGTTTTACTTGGAAATTTTGGATAACCGGTTTTTAACCCCAATAAAGTTTATGCTAGATTCTAAAAGTCTTTTAATGAATCATTTCAAGATCAAAGAATGTTTGAGGAAGCAATTAATCATAGAATCTCTATATTATATTATTTTCGTTAGGAGCTAATATCGAAATTATCTGGTTAAGAAATTACGAAAATACCCTTGAGAGATAAAATAATCTAAATTGACCCTGAATGAGAAAATACTTTGAGGATTTATACTTAACTCGATTAAATACAAATTTAATTGTTAAGATCTTGTCTTTGTACAGAAAAATTCATGATATTCCGTTTGTAAGATATGAGAAGACACTTGACCCGAAAATATTCGAATAATGAGTAAATACTTGAAGAGTAATTTATCGGGGGTATTATGCTGTCAGAATTGTTCGAAAGGACTGAAGTAAATGATAATATTGAATTAAATAATAAGACCGGATGACAGGAAAATATTGAGATAGCGTAGATATGTAAAATGACCGAAATACCCCTGTAATGAAAATGACCCAAGAATATCACCAAGCTCAGGAATGATTGAATATCCTCGAGCTCTGAAATAAATAGAATAAAACTGGACATCAAGATGACCAAAATACCCTCATGACCTATACCAAGCAAATGCTTTGGATTAATTAAGGAATCTTAATAAGCATAGGTATTAGCCTACCTTTAAAAGTAATGGAACATAATTTAAGTGAGTAGATCAACCCTAAAGCTATGTCAATACCTGAATGGCATAGATATTACTGGAATGTGTGTTCTTCTTCTTAAGTTTGGCTCGATGATAATTTTGGAATTATTCAACTCAACTCAACTCTAGATCGCATTCAGTACTAAGAATTGGACGTATGTTCGATAAATCAACCATGAAGACCAAATCGAATGGAATGGAAGTACAACATGTATCTAAAATTTAGTAACGTCTAAATTACTCTGAAAACCCCCGAAGTAACTGGAATGGATTTAACTGCTAAATAAGCTAAGTAACCTCAATGATTGAGGATTAAGTAAGTGAATTGGATAAGTCTGGAAATTCTGATGAGTTTATAAGATGTATTGTCCTTATGGAACATGAACTACAAATCAAGCCCGTCAGTATTTCATGATATCGTGAAAGCTTGGAAATGAAATAAAGATCATTGGAAGATCTATTCAGCGGTGATTCTGAAGGTGATCTATGAACAAGAATTTGTGGTATTAAAAAGTAAATACCCTGGAAGAGAAATGAATTGACCAGTGGATATAAATTGTTAAGGTTCTGAATCTTCGTTATCAAGTTGTTCGATTATCCGATCAATTGACATGGATGCAAAGGATTTTGAATACCCTTCTGATTACGTACAACTTCTGAAAACTGTCCGAATAAGATATGATCCTGATAATTCACATTCTGAATAACTGATGATTCTGTCAGTTAATGAACTCTTCCAATAGTGATTCTAAATTCCAACATTCTATCGACATACTGAAGAACTGTGTTTCTCTGCCTGATACAGTACCTCTAAATAATACCTGTAAACTCTGGTGTGTTCCCTAATCATATAAATATTTTATCTGATTTCTGACTTGAATTATGTTATGATACATTACCTGAATTCTATTCTGATTTCTGATCTGGATTCTGTTCTGATATCTGATATGAATTCTGTTTTGATTTCTGATATCTCCATTTACCGACGGAGAAATGTTTTATCTGGGGGGTTTATTGTTGGAGGAAGATTATCTGCAGACTCCTCGGCTTTGTGCTCAGGGTCTAAATGGTATGTGCGGTTGGGTGTATGGTTCTGGGGAACCTCTACATTTATGATGTGAACGGATGAGGGTATATATATATATATATATATATATATATATATATATATGTTTTAAAAAGATCTGAAAAATTACATGGTTTTTGGGAACACACTAGAAAACCTATTCTGATCTCCTGAACTCAGTCATCCAAAATATTTCTCTGAACTGAAAACTCATTGTTCGTTACCACCTGAAATATCAGTAGGATCTTTGCTCAGCATAAAAATATGTAAATGTTCGGAAACAATAAGGAAATAAATATTTATCTGTATATGCACGTTCATCAGCATCATCTGGTAGTTCTGTATTACTGAGCTTTCCAAAGCTCACTCTATTACTCACCTTTTCAGGTTAAAAGAATTGTACCAGTGCATTTATGGACTTCAGTAAGGGAGTTCTTCCGACGTTGTTGCAGAGTATGGTACATGTGATTAGGGGGCATGTAATTGTATTTTGATTTATATACGTGTTTGGAAATCTGTTTTATTTTTAAATAGTGAAAACTGATTTTATAAGTTTACATGTTCTGATAAAAAGTTTTAAATTTTCCGCTATTTTTACAGTAGGTCGCTCCGGTGGCCCTAATGTGACTTCCCGGATCAGATCGGGCTACCCTTATCGGTCTGTGGGGGTTACAATTTTAGTTGAAGATTCATGGGTAAAGGCATATATTGTAAAACACCATGAACATTCTCCCATGACCCTCCAAAACACAAATCTATCCAAACATGATCAACATTAGATGATTTCATTATTGTAAATTAATTTACTAAACAAATGAGCTGCGAAACTAAAACCTGTTGCCGAATGGGGAAGGATGTCGTTGGATATAGGAACGGATGTCGCCGGAGAGAGTGATAGATGCAGATGGAATGAGTTGCGATTTAGGGATTTAGGTTATGAGTTACTGCTGCTGCGTAGTTATATACCCAAAACATTTGTGTTGCGAAACTAAAACCTATTGCGAATTTGAAATTCAGCATTGCGATAGTCAGAATCGCGTTGCGATAGTCAGAATCGCGTTGCGATAGTCAGAATCGCGTTGCGATTTACATATTCGCGTTGCGATTCGCAACGCGATAGTCAAAATCGCGTTGCAAATCTGGAAACTGATTTGCGATACTGGAGATCACGTTGCGATTTAGAGATCGCATTGCGATTTTGTTGGTCATTTTGGCAAATTGAAAAAAAGTTGGTCAAAATCGTATATTATAAGGAATTTTCAGTCACTGAGGTTATTTTCTCAAATAAATATATGAAGATATATTGAATTTAGGGTTTGTAACCAATTGGATTGGATCAAATTTTCGACTAATCTAATTTAATAAACATATATTTTAAATTTTAATTTGATTCGATTTAATTTTAAAAAAGATTTATCCAATTCAAAATTTGATCCGATTTTAATGGAAAAAATGATTTTTCACCCATAAACAATTCTAAACACCCAAAAAATAATTTAAAATTATAATTGAAAAAAATGATTTTCAGCTCAACCTCAAAAACTCAAATTTCAAGCTTTTAATGTAAAAAATCACTTTTGAGGTAAAATTATATTTTATCCTCAAATACTATAATTTTAATTTACAACATAATGTTTAAAATGAACATTTTAACTTTTCAAAATTATTTTTTAACAACAATTTCAAACATTTAAATTTTAAATTATACTTTTAATAGTACTTTTTTATTACACTTTTCAAAATCATTTTTCATAAGTAACACCAAATTGGTTAAAACTATTTCTTTTACAATATAAGTGATTAATTTTATTAAAATTTGAGAAATATCTAAAATTACAATGAATGTTTACAATCATAATAGTAAACTAAACACATCATTAGGATATTCTCTTATAACCATTAATTCAAGAAATTAATCCCTTGATATCATAAAAGGACTATACAAGAAAAAGATGAAAACGTCATAAAAATTCAAACAAAAGATAGATACAAAAAGATATGACTGCATCATAAAAAACCACAACAGAAAATCAAACTATTTAAAGACTATTGATAAATACAAATTAGAGCCAAGCATTGTGAAAAATTATCTACGCGTGCAAACCGCATATCCAAACCTAATATGAGAGTCTAAAATAATAAAGTTAATCAAAATAACAAATAAATATCATTTTAATCAACTGCAATGACGTCAAATCTAACCTTAAAAAATAAACAAAAAAAGCCTAAACAATCGAGACAAAAGACAAAAAAACGTGCCAAAATCAGAGGAAAACATGTCAAAAGAAAAATGTGTAATAAAGATAAAATTATTAATAACAAATGAAAATTAAAGATATGAGACAAAAAAAATAAAAAGAAATAAAAAATATCATCGATCGATAATTAATATCAACACCGATGCCTCGACCTGCTAACTAAAGATGAAAAAGAAAGATCTAACAACGCTAGAGTTTTTTGAGAGCATTAAAAGTATTATCTTAAATTAATCATAATTTTATTTGATAAAATTAAATTTTAAATATATATATAAAATACAAGGGTAAAATGAACATTTCATAATAAAAATGCCTGTAGTGGGCTTTTTGTATAGTGCAAAAAGCGAAACTAAAGTAGAAATTAACGACTAACCTAATTAACACGGAAGAGAGAATATTCCGAATTCCTTCTCGACGCATAATAAAAGTAAAAGGAATTCGACCACTCGCGTCAAAACCATGTGCAGATAAGGCGTCCAACCGTCCAAGTCCTATTTGTTGGCAAAAAAAAAAAAAAATTCAGTGACTAAAATAAGAAAAAAAATAGGCTAGTGACTACATCTGTAGTATACCCAAAACTAAATAAAATTTTCTTCCGGTGCTTCGCTTTTTTTTTTCTTCCTTTTGGACATACGAAAACAATAAAACTGCAAATTTACGGAGTACTAAAAAAGAAGAGAGCAGCGTAAAAATGGGCTTTTCCATCTTCTGATCAGATCAAACCAATTTCAACCGTCAGATTAACCAGTCATCTTTGTGTTATTATATAATCTTCTCTGTGCTTTTCTCAGTCTCATACAAATTTTTTCGTTCTTTTGGAGAGAGTTGAGATTTCGAAGCTCCATCTAAAGGTTATGAATTTTTCGATCTGTAAGTTTCTGATTTCTTTGTTATTTGAAAATTTCGAGTTTGCTTTTTCCCCATATATATATATAATAAATTATTGTTAATGTTGTTTGTTTGGTGGAGAAATTTTGTAAAAAAGAAAAAACATAGATTGATTTTTCTATTCGGAAAGTTGAATTATATATATTATATTGGCTGTCGCATTGATGAACGATCTATGATTCAATTGTAATCACGTTATTTAAATTTGTATTTTACCGAAAATTTCGATAATTGTTAGACTGAGATATTTTTGATATAGTTAGCACATTTGTTGCCTTTTTTATTTTGGTTTCTAAGCTAATTTAGTCTTAATATTGTGGATGAACATGCAGGGTTTAAAATGGTTTTGCTGAGCGAACATAGTAAAGCCTTGGCGCTCTAGTCTAGCAATCTTTTATCTTTTATTCTTTTTTTGAGTAAATGGGCTGCTTTCAATCAAAAGTAACAAGACAATACCCCGGACACGAAGACCCAATTATTCTCGCTTCTCAAACTGCTTGTAAGTTTACAAATTACTATAAATTTTTTGTTCATTTCATTTGGCCTATTGTCTGATTGGTTTTATGAGGCGAAATGCCAATGTTTTCTTAGCATTTTCTTGTCTGTAGCTGAACTGTTGCTATTTGTTTTGGGGTTTTCTAATTCTACTATTAGTCAAGAAACATGACTTTGCTTCAAATTATTCTTGGTTTGTTGTTTTTATGATAATCTGGGAATGGGAAAATTTCAATCAGCTTGAGATAGATTATATAGTTTGCTAATCTTTGACTGTTTTTATGCTCCAAATTTGACTACTTGATTGGTTTTCTTACGCAGTTAGTGTTAGTGAAGTTGAAGCACTTTTTGAGCTATTCAAGAGCATTAGCAGTTCAGTGATCGATGATGGGCTGATCAACAAGGTACAGTTACCAATAGTGTCAATGTAGTTTGAGATTAGGATTACCACACCTGATATCAAGTGTGAGTCGATGATGTGTTGAATGGTTCTCATCACTTCGCTATTTTGTTTGTATTCCTCCCTTGTGTTACTATGCCTCTTTATTTTTCTTGAAGTATCCATATTAAACATCCATGTCTGACACTCACAGCCTAGTTCAAGTAACATAATCCATTCCTGCTTTCTTAGCATTAGAGTATATTTTTCTCACTCTTCCCTTTTCAGTCAACTTTGAAAATTTACACACGAAGTTTGGTGCCCATCTAACTCTTCTGTTATACATGCAGGAAGAATTTCAATTAGCTCTCTTTAAGAATATGAAGAAGGAAAACATTTTCGCAAATCGGGTAATATATTTTGTTACGGGAAGTTCAATATTAATTCAAGTTTCAAATTTCATTTTGCTTTGTCTAAATCATGTTGGACTTGGATGGCATGTCCTGTGCTACCAATGAGTGACTAGGTTGCATGATTATTTACGGGGTTGAGGTTTGTTTTGTGGGGGTGTTTATCACATTTATCTTGCACAAATGCTTAAAATTTAGTACAGATATAAAATTTGGTTTGAGGGGATAAATATCTCTCTAGGTTGCAGTATTTCTTGTCCAGGTTGCAGTAGAGTATTGTACCCTGTCTCATTTTCGTTCTATAAACATGTATTTAATACCAATATGGAAAGTATGAATTGAGTATTTTAGAGAATTTCTAAGATTTGAATTGGTTTATTTCTGCACACTTCTACTACATGCAGATCTTCGATTTATTTGACGCGAAGAAGAAGGGGGTCATTGATTTTGGCGACTTTGTGCGAGCACTCAATGTCTTCCATCCCAGTGTCTCACAAGAGGACAAAATTGATTGTAAGTAAACAGTTGATATAATTATCTTGAATACCTAAATTGTGTTCATCTTCCATCTTATTTTCTAAGTTGATTGTTTTACATTGCAGTTGCATTTAGACTTTATGACATGGATGGAACAGGTTTTATCGAGCGTAACGAGGTATGTTGGCACTTACATGTTTGATATTTATATACCATGCAGAACAGAACTGGTTTTAAAGATTACATATTGCTGCACATGACCCATATTCATATTTTGATTCCATTACATTTTTACCCGAACCTCTTGCAGGCAAATTTATCTTCTGTGATTTTGGCAGGTCAAGCAAATGCTGATCGCACTATTATGTGAATCTGAAATGAAGTTGGCTGATGAAACCATCGAGGCAATTCTTGATAAGGTGAGAGCTTGTTGTCATGTTGTGGTATGGCTGCATAAAGTAAGTTTTTATTGTACTGATGAAAATCTTCCACCACGCCTGGAAATCATTTCGAGTCAATAGCTGCTGAGTCGTAGACTATTTTTTGAAATGGATACCTCTAAGAAGATTTCATGTGAATATGTGATCGCCCGTATTAGGTATCCGGTTTACAGTCAGAATAGAGGAAAGAATATTTGGCATTGTATTTAAGTTCTATCCAACAGTGCGTGTAATTTGCAACTCTATATATGTATAAAATCTTTCGTTGGATTTTACTTAATTTACTATTATTTACTCATCCGTGACAATTTGTGAGCAGACATTCTTGGATGCTGACATGAATCAGGATGGAAAGATTGATATATCTGAATGGAAAAACTTCGTCTCCTGTAACCCATCACTGTTGAAAATCATGACCCTTCCATACCTGAGGTATGTTTTACCAACAATAATCGGTTTACGTAGAAACCTCAAGTCTCTGGGGAACTCAGCCTCCATCGCACATTATGAATCATGCAGGGATATAACGACGACGTTTCCAAGCTTTATTTTTCATTCCGAAGTTGATGAAGTTGCCACATGATTGTTGGAGTATGTGATGGATCATGCATGCATTGCGTTGAGATGCATTTTTTACATGATTTGTGTGAAGAAGGAAATAGGTTTAGATGCTGTTATGAAGGCTAAAGCTATCAAAGCATTCATAAAGATAGCCAGCTAAATGTGATTAGCACTGGTAGTGCATTATTGTAATTCACATTTTTCAAGTTTAATTTTTTTTTATCAATTGATTTGTAGGTAATATATGTTTAGATTTTAATTTGTGTTAATTTGGGTAGGTTGCTCAAATAATCGCTTGAAGACATTAGGTATGCTGGCTATGGCTAGAATAAACAATTCGGTAGCAAAATTAAATTCTTACATTTTATCGATAGTAATTAATTTTTTTAACTTATAATTTTTAAATACAATATTAATTTGACTGTTAAACTCTAATACAATATCAATTTGACTTTTAAACTTTAATACAATATTAATTTGACCATTAAATGTTAAATAAAATATTAATTTAACTTATGAATCTAGCTAAAGTCTCTTGCCGTCGTTTATCACCATTGTGGTTAACCGTTAATTGCCTTTGCCGACGATTGTTGGACCGTAGAATTTGAATTTGTTCATTCCTTCTTGACGTCTTGAATACGTATAAGACATTCATTTTGATGTAGAGAAAAATAAGATGATTTAAATATTTTTATTTTTAAAAATCATAGCTAAAATAAGATGACAATTTTTGTGGAATAATGCAACGGAAAAAAAATCATGGAATAATGCAGTCCATGAATTATTTTTTTATTTGGGGTGATTGTTACAGTGATCTACGAGGTTGCCGGCTGCTCTGAACAATCTGTTTTAGCTATGGTTTAGGTAATTCTTGTTCGGAACACATGACGACCAACGTAGGTCATTTGGAATATATGACGGCCTATGGTAAACTGTAGCATTTGTCCCAGATGAACAAATAATCCTTCGACTGTATTATCTGAGAAATTTTTTTTCCAAAGCATTATTTCACAGATTTTGCCAAAATAAGATATACCGAAAATAAAAGTTACCAATAATGTAGTCTAATTTAAAGAGAAAATCGCCTCAGTGACCAAAAAAAAGTTATAATATACGATTTTAACCAACTTTTTTTGGATTTGCCAAAATGACCAACAAAATCGCAACGCGAAATAAAAATCGCAACGCGATCCCCAGAATCGCAAATCAGTTTCCAAAATCGCAACGCGATTCTTGAAAATCGCAATGCGATAGTCAAATTCGCATTGCGATTTTCCAAAATCGCAACGCGAATATGAAAATCGCAACGCGAACACATAAATCGCAATGCGTATCCGTAAATCGCAACGTGTATCCGTAAATCGCAACGCGTATGGGTAAATCGCAATGCGTATCCGTATATCGCAACGCGTATCGGTAAATCGCAACGATAATACATAAAATCGCAACGCGTATCCGTAAATCGCAACGCGATATTTAAAGCGCCATTATAATCGCTACGCGTATTTTATTTTCAAATTACAAAAACGAATATTAAGACAAAATCCCGTAATCGCAACTCATAACCTAAAACCTAAAATCACAACTCAGTCACATCTCCATCTCTCACTCTCTACGGCGAAGAAATCCGTCCCCATCTCCGAAGATTTCCGTCCCCATCTCCGGCGAAATCCCTCACAACCATTCACGGTCAGAAATCCCTCACAATATTCAGAAATGGAAAATCAACCTCCGAGGGTTAGTTTTTTTAATTATTTTTATTTTGAAATGTTTGCATTATTGTAGGTTTTTCATATTGAAACTGATGATAAGTTTACTGGTCATCTCAATAATAGATTAACCATTTCACTTAGATTTCATTTCGCGTTACGATTCTCTCGTTGCGATTTTCATTTCGCGTTGTTATTCTCTCGTTGCGATTTTCAAGTTAGTATTTGTCTTTGTCTTTGTTCTGTCTTTTGGTTGAAGTAATGCAATCCATTCAAGTTTCAATTTGCAGAAGAGTCGCAACGAGATAAATGAAAATCGCAACGAGAGAATGACTGTCGCAACGCGAAATGACAATCGCAACGAGAGAATCGCAACGAGAGAATCGCAACGCG